GGTCTACTGCCCTTAGTTTGTAAACTATTATCTTTTAATAATTTTGTGTTTGGGGAACTTACATTTATCTCACAACAAGATAGGCTGGAGGGAGAGAGGAGTTAGGTTTCTGAGTCTGTTTGCTTTGTCATGACTACCTATTAACCATATCAATTCTAATATTCAACAATACTGTTTGGTTATGCCAGTTCTATGTATACAGTTTTCTATGTTCCATTCCCCGCATTTATGCGCTATCATTCATAAGCTCACTTCACATCATTTCGTTCTCCTATGCTTTGTATATCAATAAACTGAGAAATTCATTTGAGACATCTTCCGTAGTCTGTTGGTTTAATTTCTGTATTGTGTAAGCTCTGCTCCCTGACCTTAGCCAAGCCTTGACTGGGATCCAATGAATTTTATTGCACTGGCCAGGGTTAGGAATAGGGTTAGGGGCGGGCGAGGCCAGTGGGAAGAGAGGGGAGAGGGAACTCCGGGCTCACGGGAGTGGCAGGCCGCCTACGCCAATCTTGGTGAATCATTGTGAGCTGGGGAAGGCAATGGGTCACGAAAGGCAGCAGTGGAAAGCGGGGAGAGCTGGGGCGAGGTATATTATATTATTATATTGTATTGTATTGTATTGTATTGTATTGTATTGTATTGTATTGTATTGTATTGTATTATATTATCATATCATATCATATCATATCATATTATATTATATTGGGACACAGGTGGTGCTGTGGGTCAAACCACAGAACCTAGGGCTTGCCGATCAGAAGGTCGGCAGTTTGAAACCCCGTGACGGGGTGAGCTCCTGTTGTTTGGTCCCAGCTCCTACCTACCTAGCAGTTTGAAAGCACACCAAAGTGCAAGTAGATAAAGAGGTACTGCTCCGGCGGGAAGGTAAATGGCGTTTCCATGTACTGCTCTGGTTTGCCAGAATGAGCATGCTGGCCACGTGACCCAGAAGCTGTATGCCGGCTCCCTCGGCCAATAAAGCAAGATGAGCACCGCAACCCCAGAGTCGGCCCTGACTGGACCTAATGGTCAGGGGTCCCGTTACCTTTTCCTATTATATTATATTATTATATTATGTTATATTATATTATATTATTATATTAATTATAC